AGTAGGACAAGTATATTTTTCTCATTCTAGCTTACTGCACTAGTTCACCAGTGCAGCAATAGAAAACAAGCCTTAGAACTTGGACCAAGTCCTAGCATCGTGGACACAGGCCTTAAGAACAGACCGATCATTGGCAATAAAGGCCTGTGTCCATGATGTCAATTAGAACTTGGACCAAGTTCTAATTGACTAGCCTTAATAGATCTTCAGATAAACCGATCTTTGTGCGATCTCTGTTGCAATGATTTTGTACTTAAAATAATCGTAAGTACAAAGGCATCGCATGAAACCTGACTATAGCACAAAACGCGACCAAGTATTATAAGATTTGACTATGAATACTGTACAAAATGTGGACATTGGTTACGTAGTTCATGTCCACGTTTTCAATAACCACAGAGAACGTATCGCATCCGAGGATCACATACATATTACTATACGTCGTTTTATCCATGTATAAGATACGTGTATAATACATTGTGGAGATATAATATACATGCCCAACTTTCTCAATTTTCTAGCGAAAAACTGGGGAGAGTTTCGAGTTTTTTCCAGTGAACTCTATACATACTGGAATGAGTGATCTATTGTTCTGGCTGTTGCCGAGAGAGAGGTGCGTTTGGGTGAATCCTTGTCTCCTTCTAGTACTACCTGATTGGATAGTCGCATATAAATGACGAGAAGAAGGGCGTCATTTATATGCGATTATCCAATCAGGTAGTACTAGAAGGAGACAAGGATTCACCCAACGCACCTCTCTCTCGGCTACAGCCAGAACTATAGATCACTCATTCCAGTATGTATAGAGTTCACTGTTTTTTTCTGATGAATAAAGCCTATCACACAATGCGAGGCAACAGGCAACAGGAATAGGGAATAGAATTTTTGACGCGTTGGATTCGTCGGAAATTTTCCTTCAACCAATCCAACGCGTCAAAAATTCTATTCCCTATTCCTATTGCCTGTTGCCTCGCATTGTGTGATAGGCTTAAGTCCCAGTCTACAATAGAGATTTAAGCCCTAAGCCTTAAGAAATTGACTAATCACAGTCGCGCATTCTACTCATACTTGACCGTGATTGGCCAATTTCTTAAAGCTTAGGGCTTAAATCATCTATTGTAGACAGGGACTAACTGGAGATTTCTAGAGATTTTTTATTCTGATTCAGAGACTTATTCTATCAGCAAGTTGACAACACTGAAAGAATACCTTCACATCAATACATCGTGGTGTTGGTGTAGTCAATCGAAACGTTGTTGAACGTCTCTCATGTCAAGCACGAGAGTACAAGATAAACTAGTCGAATTGTCAAATGGTAATCGATGTGGAAGAAATGCGTATTCTAAATCATGACTTTGATGGAGATTAAAGATGCACTTGCATTATCCGCAACGATTTGCACTGGTTTACAGTTTCTAGCTGGCATGTAAGCAATATACGATACAAATAACCTTAACAGATTACTAAGCCTTGTTTTATTTGTTTAAAAATGTATTAATTTATTAACGTAATACCTTCTTTATTAAAAAATAATGTTTAACTCAACGTTGACCATTAACCTATGATTGGTACAAGAAAAATATGTTATATTTCTTTCGTACGAACCATATGTATCTTTTTATGCGTGTATAATTATATATAATTTTATTTATTGTTTACTTAGTCAACATAATTGCAGATTTTGTTAGATATTTTGTTAAACATTAATCTTATAAAACTTTTATTATTATGTAGTAATAGTTCAACTATTGGATGTGTCTATCAAGTGGATTTTCTTATAGACTGGTGTGCAAGAAATATATTAGAAATGGTACAACTGGGGATAGTTCAGGACTGGCCTTTGTAACATGTTTCATGTCGTATGTATCTTAGCATAAGGTGACTTTTGGCGACTGGTTGGTACATATACCAAAGTATACCAGAGTACACATTCGGAGTCGTGAATGCTTTTACGCCTGAAAGTAGCCGTTGAGTTCAATATATCCGATAGAATAATTTATTTTATTAAAATAAACTTTCCTATTAGATACCCTTAGCGTCTTCAGATGTAAAGGCATTCATGACGCCGAGTGTACACTCTAGTACACTTTGATATATGTACAAAGCAGTCACCAAAAATTAGTAAACAGTGATTTCAATTAAGAATTATATTTTTATCATTACAGTTGTAGTCTATGGCTGAGATATGGAATGCTTATTGGAGATCTGTTTATTATATCTGTAAATATATTTGGAACAATATTACAAATATGTTACGTGTGCGTTTATATTTTATACAACGTGAAAAGATCAACTACTATTAAGCAGTTTACGGTAGCGATTGGTTTGGTTTCGCTTGTATATCTCTACAGTATTTATCAAGAAGATAAAGTTTTAGCCGAGAGACATGTAGGATTTCTCAGTTGCAGCCTGACTATTATATTTTTTGCATCGCCATTGATATCACTTGTAAGTATAAAATAACATCTTGTTATTTGTTCACGTAATCGTACTAAATAGATAATAAATAATGAAACTATTGATTAGAAAATTAGTATCTTTTTAAACATCCTGATTTATAATATAATTTTATGTAATTGTAATATGCTATAATGCGTTGGTAATGGACAGCTGTAAATTTGTTATAGGCACATGTAATAAGAATGAAGAGCACAGAAAGCTTGCCATTCCCAGTCATAATGGCTTCTATGATAGTGTGCTGCCAGTGGTTCGCATATGGATGTCTACTCAGTGATCAATTTATACAGATACCGAATTTTATGGGTTGCGTTTTGTCAGGCTTTCAACTTTCTTTGTTTTTGATTTACCCAAGCAAACGAGCAGATCAAACCTATTTTATATGAGAAAATTAATACCCGTTGCTCGGTAGATCAGATCGATTACTGCTCAAGTATTACGTTATAAATATGTAATGTATATACATATAAATATAAAATATATATATTATAAATCAACAATTTTTCATAAAGCAGAACATTTTTACTTTATCCTGTACCGCATACAATTAGCTCTTAGTATATTATTAATTGTTCGACTTTTTTAATATCAGGATTTATTCAAATTAAAAAAGATAAATTCTTTAAGCTTGGGACTCGCTCATGAATCACCTCTGTAAAGTTAGTCCCCCCATTATTTCAAAAATTTAACTTTTTTTACAAGTTCCCTATAGATATAATATAATTTCCGGAAAGAAATCTTCCGCGAACGTAAATTTTCGTAGAAGAGACAAAAAATTCCTTTCCTACTTCGTACGCACAAATAGTTTCGGCCGGTGCTCGCGTGAGTCGTTCGAACGGGCGCGAATCAAGTGAACGAAAAGGAGAACAAAAGCAATCTGCGAAATGGCGTTAATATGAGAATAATTATATTCACCCGAGGATTACTGCGCTGTCGCCCGATGCCTCTCCTAGACCGCCGCTTCCTCTCAGATTCTTCTAATTGGCACTGGCACAACACAACGCTCGCGAAAGCGAAGATAATTACGATCGCGTCACGTAACTCGCGGCGTTATTCGTCGCGGATTCCACTGCAACGAGTGCAAGAGACGCGATCGCGGAGATACGAACAATGGCGTCGCGCAAATTGGCGGGAACGTTTTAGCGAAAAAGACCGCGAAAAAGTTGGCTATATTGCCAACTCAGTAGGAGGACCGAGCGAAAACACTACGGTGCAGACGATACCTTCTCGCTCGCACAGTGAGTCCGTTTTAGTACTTTTGCGCATGCGCCAAATCGACTGCGATTGGTCAATTTCGTTAGACACATAAGAATTAATTGACCAATCACAGTCGATTCAGACACATAGATCGACCAATCATACTCGGCAACGTCTCGACCAATCGCGTTGCTCGACTCGGACAGGCAACAGGCATTGTGATAGGCTTTAGGCCTCTCTCTCTCTCTCTCTCTGCCCGCATAACCGAGTCAAGCAACGCGATTGGTCGAAACCTTACTGTTACACCCTATGGGAATTGTGTGTGCGGCCATGCGTGGTTTAGCAAT